GAAATAAACATTTTGGTTATTAAATGGTGACGTGGGTAATTAGGATTGTGATTTTGGAAATTTCTGGGGCGGACTTTATTTGTAATTTATAAAAAATTGATTTGATAATTTATAATTTCATTTTTTTGAATTAAAACAGACAATTAGTTGTTTCTATTTTTGTACAACCGTTTTTGTCGTTCTTTTTTGAATAAATACAGTTCATTAAATTAAAAAAGATTGATTAATAATAAGAACAAATATACAAATTTTTGAAATCCAAAACGTATTTTTCTTTATAAAAAAAAACAAAAGATAGGGAATCATCGAATAATTAATTAAATTTCTATTGATAATCATTGATTTATTAGATTACTACACAAAAGCCAATCAGTGTATATTTTCATAAAAACTACAATTTATTTCTTCTGTGTGATGATTCTTTCTCTTTTGAAAGTTTATCGGAAACGACGAAAACAAACGAAAAAATAAAATATAAACGATTTATATTTGACATTAACAACAAAAAGTCTTGATATATCATTTCAATTGAATTAAAACGCTAAAAATCTATTCGATATATTTTCATGTTTTTAATGGAAAAATAAAATAATTAAAATTTTAGTGGTATAAATATCAACTTGTTTCTCATTATAATCAGAATGTTGTTCTTTCTCTTCTTCACACTACTCTACGCAAGTAAACCGAAGACTGAAGACTATGCCAATCCCGACTGTACACACTCTTCTTGCACATCATGCCCAACATCTGCAGATGTCTGTGACGCCTGCAGAATAAATTTTGTTCTGAGTGAAGGCAAATGTATTTGTTTGTTACTTTTTATTTTATTTTCGGTTGAATTTCAATTGTTTCTATAATCAAATTAAATTAAATAAGAGAACTAACTTATAGACCAAACAGAAGCTCATTGTTTAAATTCAGTGGATGGGTACTGCACTGAATGTCAAGAAGGATATAAGCTTGACATAGATAGTGGTGTATGTATTTGTTTGTTATAATATAATATAATTGTTTACTACAAAATACTATAACACAATTTTTATAACAAATAAATAATTAATAAATAGCTGGAGAAGATGGCTGTGGCGAATATGAAGCCAAAGGTGTTTGCTATGCATGCAAACCTTCATACGTAAAGAATGCAGACAACACATGCAACAAATGTGCCACCATTTCTCATTGTATTGATTATGCCAACGACTGCACGTGCAATTCATGTGTATTGAATTACCACCCATCAGACGACAAAAAGACGTGTACTTCTGAAGATGTTCATTGCACTCAAATTGATGTCGTCGAAGGGAAGTATCAGTGCAATTTGTGCTGCAGTGGATTTTACTTGAATACCACTACCCACGTCTGTATGAGTTTGTTTTCATCACTTTTGATTAAAAAATATTTGTTTTTTAATAATTAAAAATAATTATTTGGAAACTAATATATTTAATTTAATAGAAAATACTAAAAATTAGAGGGATCAGATGCCACATGTATCTTATATGAAATGCAAGCAGACGATAAAGTTGTTTGTACTGAATGTTTACCAGGGTACGTTCTTTTTGACGACAAAAGTTGCAAAAACATCACTGAAGTTTTTGGACCAAATTGTGTGGCAACAGATTCCAATAACAAATGTGAAAAGTGTATGGATGAATTCTATCCAAAAGATAAGACGTGTGAAAAGTGCACATTATTCTGTGATTATTGTAATGAAAATGAATGTAAGCAATGCCACGAGACAACTGCATATAATACCACTGATAAAACATGTGTACGTTTGTTATTCTATAACTTTAATAAAAACAACTTAAAAAATACTAATAAATAGCTTGTGATGAACATTGTTATGCATGTCAGATTACTGATAATGAAAAAACATGCACAGTCTGCTATGCCGACTCTGTTTTGATCGATGGACATTGTGTCAGTTTGTTCTATTAACAATTAGTTAAATATAATATAAAATACTATACATCTTAATAGTTCTTTATATTATATACAAAATAACAATCAGAAAGTACTCTTCCAGCATTCACGTGTAAGACGGACGCTGCCAACAAAGAAGAATGTGAAACGACTGCACAGAACTGTGTGTATGAAACCGTATCAGAGACTCTTTCAATGTGTACATATAAAGGAAGTAACTGCACTGAGTGGGATACAAACAACGAGTGCACCAAATGTGTCTTGGGATATAAGCAAAATCCGGACAAGAAGTCGACGTGCACTATAATAGACGACAATTGTGCACTTTACAAAGAAACCACCGATGGAACTCAAGTGAAGTGCGTTTCATGCAAGGCTAAGTACTTTTTGACTGATGATTTCAAGTGTTCTCGATGTGGCGATTTTTGTGCAAACACGTGTGAATACTCTGCAGAAAACTGTGACGAATTTGAATGTTCGGATTATGTCTGCGGGAAGTGTGCAAGTGATTACAATAAGTGTGATCAGTGCATATATCAAACTGTGAATAAAGTTGAGAACAACAAGTGCGGTCCTAATGCATGTATCGAGCCTTTGGCCGATGGAAAATGCAGTGTTTGTATGCAATACTCTGATACATACACTTATGTCCCAAATCCATACACAGACCCAGAAAGAATGCCAAAGTACGTATCTTATTATTTGGCTGACGAAAATATGAGCTGTGAAATTAAGAGTGGAGAATCCGAGTCGGATGATTTGACTTGGCTTTGGATCACTTTGGGCGTAGTCGGAGGCGTTGTGTTGATTGCGGCTATCATTTTGATTATAGTCGCCGTTGTGTTCTTCATGAAGAAGAAGAGTTCAAAATATCAAGAAATTGATAAGTGAAAGTAATCGACTTTTGAATTTTTAATTGTTTTTTAATTAACTTTATAAATTAATATTTTTATAAATTAAAGTTATAAAATTGTTTAAAGAAATGTTAATAAATGATGTGGATATAACAATATTAATATGCAAAATTCGATTTGAGCAAAAATGAGTTGTTATTTATATTTTTTGTTAAACAATTACCAAAAGTTGACACCATGACCAGTATTTATTTTGTGAGTTTAAAATATATTTTCATACCAAAATATGTTATTGTCTTAGAAGTGAACAAGTCAAAAGTAAATTATAACATTTGTAATAAGTTAACTTTAAAACCATATTATGACTATATTCATTTTAATTACTCTATTGTGTCCAATTTGTTTATCATTTGAACAACCAGGTGAACCAAGACGGCATGGTTCACACAGAGAAAGGTCACACAAACGAAGTCATCACACATCATCGCGTCCAAGTACTTCTCATCACAGAACACAAGAAAGACCAACAACATCTACAAGTTCTCAACCATCCACATCAACAACAAGTGGCAAACACACACACAAAAGAAAACACACAACTCATGAAGACACTTCATCACAAAGTAAACATGAATCAAAAAGACAGAAATTGGAATCATCAAGTGAACAGCCATCCACTTCAAAACAGACTGCTCAAACATCATCAACACGAGAACATAAAGACGAAACACCAAAACAAATCCCATACCCGCCTTATACATATTTGTTACCAACAACCATGACATATTTGGAAAACCATAGAAAGTGTCTAAGATATTATCCTCAACAAAATAAATTAAACTTTCTGTTATTTGTACAACATTGGCCTGGCGAAAGATGTGCACATCAATTGTGTACAATTCCAAAAACAACATCAAAAGTTAAGGAAAAGTTTTTCCTTCATGGACTTTGGCCACAGAGCAATAGGAATATGTTTTGTTGTCAAAACAAATTCAGTTTTGATAGTGTTGAACAAAGATTGTTGAATGATAAAAAACTTTTGAAAAGTGTACAAAAGCATTGGCTTTCATTGTTTAAATGTAAGTCGCCAATGTATCAATACGACAAACATGGTACATGTTCACTAACTACTTTTAGTGGAGGTGATGGACCAGTGGATTATTTCAACACAGCAATTAAAATGTATAGAAGAGTCAATATATGGAAAGTTTTGAGAAGAAGCGAATTAAAAGTAAGAACCAACAAATTGTATGACATCGAAAAACTCAGAGATGTGGTGAGAAGAGCTTATGGTGGTAAGCCAGCCTTTTTCTGTATGGAAAAAACTTCAGTTCTTGAAATTAGAGTGTGTTACGATCCGTCTAAAAACAAATACAATCCAGAATCAATAAGATGCCCAAGAAAAGTAACTCGGTTCGAAGAAAAAACGTGTGGCAAACGTGTTTCGTTCAAACAATTTCCTAAGTATTTACTTGACCCATCAAAAGCTCCCAGAAATAATTGCGAATATTGATTATTAAAACTATTATTTTTTTAATAAAACAATAAATATATTACTATAAATAATATATCATATATCCTATTAATTATCATAAAAAATAACTGTAGTTTTATTAGTACAGGGAGGATAAAAAACCGCTTCCGTCTTTTTAACCGCTTCCTATCGATTAATTGTTATAATTAATAACATTATAATAAAAAGTATAATACAAATTACCACTTAAGACAGAAAAAGTCTCCACGAGGCATATTCAGCCTTCATGGTAAACAGTACTAAACATTTTACTATATTAATATTATTAAAATCTATAAAATCAAGTGAAAGCGGTTAAAAAGACGGAAGCAGTTTTTTAGCCCCCCTGTATTTCAGTTTATGAACTTCTATTGATTTATATCCAATTCAAATGAAATAAAAATGAGTTGTAAATCATTATTCGATTACAGCCGACAAAAAAATGGTCAGAGACCAAATAATTGTAAGAAGTAAAATAAATAGTTTTAAAACTTTAATTAAAAACTATTATAAAAATAGATTTAAGTTTTTAACTATTTTTTGGTGTACCTTTTTTCACTTTTTTAAACCCATTATATTCAAGGTAATCAATGGAATATTGATTACCTTCTGATAATTACTTGGTCAACTGTAATTGATATTATAAAAATAAAATATTTATAAAAATGTAAATTTTATTATAAATCTGAAGCTTTTTTACTTATAAATATGACAAAACAGTGACTCAAGGTTAGTTAAAAACTATTTAAAAAAAATTATTCAAATATTTTAAAAGATTTCACAAACACAAATTACGTTATAAATATGTCGATAAAAACCAATTTTAAAAAATCAGAGATAGCTTGATAAATTTTTGTACTGTAACTTTATAAAAATAATAACTTAATTATAATAATAAATTATAACAAACTGCTGAATATTGATAATTTATACACAAATAAAAATACATTGAAATTTTCAAATTGGATCTCGATAATTAATGTCCTTTTTAATATCGAGCGAGCTTTGTGTATTTCTAAACATCCAACCCAAATTAGAAAATATTTCTCTTTTTAATTCCATGAGACTAAATTTAAATGGACTTGCAGACACCCTCAACAAGTTAGATTCAGGTATCAAAAATTCATTTGATAAGAAAACAGTTCCTGTTGACAACACATTAAGTCTTGATGATCAGATGAATATTCTCAACAGCAATTTGGCTATTACAAACGATCAAATGGCGTCTTACGAAAAGTATTCTGGATGTTGTTGTTCTCTTTTTGAGACTCTTTGCACGATGACTCAAATGCTCGAAAGCACTATAACAGCAAATACAGATGTTAAACAATGGTTGTTAAGAAAATTGAATAGTTTCCAGGCCAAAAAGACTGATCTAGACAATCAAATCAAAGAACATGAACAAAAAAATCACCAAGAAATTGATGAAAGAAATGAAAGAAAATCAGTGCTTTTACAACAAGAAAATTTGAATGGGGTAAAACAAGGAAACGACTCTTTATTAATAAAAACAGAAAACTTGTTTATTGATCAACCAAAAATCATTCAAACAAATAAATTCATTCCAAAGTTGAACGAAGAAGAAGATGTGCAAGTCAATATAATACCCAAAGAAAGATCCGGAACACCAGAAAAGAAGTTGGATGATGACTTAAAATCACAAGATAAAGAGGTGCAACGTATTATGCCCAAAATGCGAATTATCAAAGAAAAACAAAAGAGTGACTCCAGTTTGTTTATTCGTTCTTTTGAAACGAAATTTCCGCCATTGGAAAGTAGTTGGTCGCCATCTGAAAAATTGTTTGTGAACAGAAACATTGCTGGCGTTGTGAAATTTGATTTGCAAAAGACAGAAGATGAAACCAATGTGGGTCATGCGGAAACAAAAAATGAACACGACGAAAAAACAATAGAAATAATAAGACAAAACAACACTGAAACGAAAAATTGATATTTTTGTTTTTCAAAAAAATTACAAAACAAACTAACTGAATATTTTTGATATTCAATTTCAGGGGGGCTAAAAAATCGCTTCCGTCTTTGTAACCGCTTCCACTTGATTTTGTAGATTTAAATAATAATAATATAATAAAATGTATAATACAAATTACCACCTCAGACATGGTAAACAGTATTATACATTTTATTATAATGTTATTAGTTATAATTATTAAATCGATAGAAAGCAGTTAAAAAGATGGAAGCGGTTTTTTATCCCATTTGTATAAATTTTTTTAAATTATTTTTTTAAAAATAATGTTTTTAATCTTCTACATTTAGTTAAACACAAGAAGTGGATTTTTGATTTTATAAAGTCCGTTTTTTGAGGGTAGATCATTATTATTTTATCATTAGATGTCTTATATAACAGCAAACCATTTTTAATAATATAATTGTTCGAGTACTGCAATTTTTTAAGAGTGAGTGGGAATGGATATTATTATTTTTTTCAGAAGAAGCATTTTATACTAAAACCAAATATATCAGTTTATTATAAAAAGTTTTAAGGTTTAATTTATTAAATTGCCCATTTTTAAAAGAATTGTATTTTAAAGGTACCGTTTTTCGAAAGGTTTGATTGTAATAAAAAAACCAAAAAAAGAATTTTAGAAGATGAACATAACTGCAAGCGCTAATATGACGAACACTTTAACACTATTGTCTGAGTAAGTGACATACCCAGCAGTTTCCTTCAAACATTCACCTTTTGTTTTTGTGATGACTTCTCCTTCTGCCACTGTGCATTTTTCATCTGAGTATTTATTAATTGAGACTGTGTTCTTATCTTCGTCGTATACATATTGGATATAGAATTTACCAGAGATGTCTTTGTTACACCCCGCCGCATACAAAAATTCTTGTGGATGGCCGTCTTTGTCGGATAGTTCACATTTTTCATTCAAATCCCACAAATATTGCACTGCTGAGAACTCGGGAATATCATCACGAAGTTCGTAAATAGCAAATAAAGCATTGAAAGATGGGTCATCCTCCATTTCTTTGCACGTCGTGCCAGACTTCGTACGAATCTGTTTATCTTCCTCGTATAAATTGATGTATTTGTTTGTGTAGTAATAGCACGTACCAAGCTCATAAACAAAATAATTCTGGCCATATTGCATCACTGCGTACTTCGAGGAAACTATGCTTAAGAAGAAGAAAATACAGAAAGCAAGCATTTTTATTTTGAAAAATCAGTTAATTTTTGAGTTCAAAGTTTTCGTTGTTAATAAAAAACGAATTATTTTTTAAAAAGTGAAAATTTTTTACATTTGATATTTTGGGTTTTATTCGTTAATTACTTTATAAAATATTTATAAAATTATTATTAGAAAATAATTGTTAATATCGTTTTATAAACAAAAAAATCTTTTGGTTTTTGGATCATTAAATTGTGTTACAGTATGGAGAGTGAATGGCTCAACGACGCTAAAATACTTGACTTATACTTATTGGTTTTCTTAAAAAAAAACATTGTTTGTATCTTATAAAAATTTCAAAAACATTTTTTACAATTTATAAATAATAAATAAAAAAGTCAAATACTTCAGTATTATCAAGCATATCATTCCTCAACTCTAGTATTAAATTTTTCATAAATAAATTGCTCATTGACTAATTATCAAACTTTTCATTATAGTATTTTGTTTTATATTTTTAAAAATATTTGAAAAATATAAAGAAGAATACCGACTTATATCATAATGATAAACAACATGAACATCACCACTTCAATTGCCACTTGGACCGCAGCATCTTTGTTGTTATCAATGGTACAAATTCTACACTCTTTATCAGTGCATGGTGTATCATAAGTTTCTTTGCACTTCTCACATATTGTTTGGCTTTTGAAATATCCACTTGGGCACTTCTGCAAACATTTATTCTCAAAATAAATATCAAACCCGTTTAAGCATTTATTACAACTGGTTTTGTCCACACACATCTTGCAATTCTCAACACCACAGTTTTCACAGTTTGGAGTCATCCCAAACTTGCCATCTCCACAGTCACTTTGGGGTGGATTACATAATTTAGTAGTTGTATTTAATACATAAGGTGAAGTACATGAAGTACAAACATCATAAGTATCATAAGTATCACAAGTAGCACAATTCATTGTTGTACATTTTGTGCACTGTTTATTATTACCTTTTGCATACTCTCCGTTTGGGCATTTTTCAATGCAAGCAAGTTGATCTATTTGAACAACATTGGTAGCACTACACTTTTCACATTTAGTAGAATCAGCGTCACAAACTGAACACAAACTCACTGAACATGAAATACAAGTGTTATTATTAATAAATGTTTGACCACTTGGACATGTTGAACTACACTTCGTTTTATCAACTGACAATTTGTTCGTACCCGTACATGAAATGCATTTATTGGGTTCAGATGAAGTGCACGAACCACAATTGGCAACACCACAAGTGGTGCACATGTTGTTTCCATTCTCATATTCTCCGGCTGCACAAGATGTTGAACACTTTGTCTTGTCAGCAGACAGTTTATTATTGTCTATACATGTGTCACATTTTGTATTATTTGTATCACATGTTTTACAGTTAGATACCGTGCATTTATTGCATATGTTTGTTGTCCCCGAGTATTCACCATCCGGACATTTAGTCCCACACTTTGTTTTATTATAATAAAGGTTGTATCCAGTATTACACGAGTCACATTTGGTTGTTGGGTCTGTTGTGCATGTTATACAATTTTTGACTGAACACTTTGAACAAATTCCATTGTTGTCTATTTCACCGTTTGGACATGTTGTACCACACGCTGTTTTGTCACTTGAAAGTTTCAAACTGTTTTTGCATGAGTCGCATTTTGTTGCTGCTGTTTCCTTTGTGCATGTTGCACACATCGAAACTGAACAAGCAACACACGTTGTCGAATTCATTTCATATTCACCAGATGAACAATTAGCTGAACATGTTGTTTTGTCGACAGAAAGTTTGTTTGTGCCATTACAAGTGTCGCACAATGTTGTAAAATCTATATCACAAGTTTGACAATTGGCTACAGAACATGTAGTTGGCGTATCTCCACCAGAATTTTGTTCACAAATATCAGTGACACCATCACCACTGTTACTTCCAGTTTCACATGGTCTGCAGTCGTCCCCATTTACAATTTCATCGGTTATTATTTCAAGAACAATCGCATGTGAAGAGTCACATCGCGCTTTCATGACATCTACAATTCCAAAAGTGCCCGTAAAGGACTCTTTTACATAAATTTTAAGGCCAGTATTTAATGAAGTGGTCACTGTTTTTGGCTGGGCATCTCCATGGAAAAAGATGTTTGTAAATGATGATAAATCATCATTTAAAGTTACTAAAGATGGATACAAATGTATTGAAGGAATAGTGATTCCAGTCAACGCAGCTGCGTCAATTGTTTCAACACCATCAAATCCACTTATTGTTTTAAGAGCAGTACAACCGCTAAATATTTTTGTTGTTAATTGAGTGAGACCGTTTAAGTCAACAGATGTCAACTTCAAGCAGCTGTCAAAAATCTGTGTACCAAGTAATGTGATTGTCTTTGGAGTTGTCACAGAAGTAATTCCTGACGAATGAAATGCCAACTCTCCAATATACATCATAGAACTTTTCGGAAATGGAAATGTCGTAATACCCGTCTCTTCAAAAGCATTGGCTGCGATTCTGCTCAATGTTTCAGTTTCACCAGAATTGGTAATAGTTTTCAAATTATAACAATAAATAAACGATGAACATCCAATTGTAGTAACTCCTTTTAAATCAATACTGGCAAGTGTTGATTCTTGAAATGCACTGTTTCCAATGGCTGAAACCCCCCGATTCAGAAGTGATTGAAGTAAGTGTTGATGAAATAAAAGATCTTGTTCCAATAGATATTGGAGAAGTGCCAGTAAAGTGAATTGATATTTTGATTACTTTCAAATGCACTGTTGGCCACACATGTGACCAGAAACGGTCATATCAACAGTACATGTACCTTGACCGCTCAGACAACCATTCACAGTACGGCGTTTTTGAAAAATACAAGATGAAATTTTTAAAAAAACAAAAATGTTTTTTTTACATAAAATAAAAATGTGTGAACCTTAATTCAGGCAAATCAGGAGATAAATTGAGATGGATCTAATATTTAAATATAAATTACCAAAAGAGACAAAAAAAAAACAAAACTTACAATTTTCATTTTACTATTTTATTTTTGTTCGTTTTTTTATATTTAGAATAAAGTTCAAACAGTTAAACTATTTATAAATATATTAAAAATTAAAAATACGAATTGTTTCAAAAAACATTTCAGTTTTAAACTATTTAAAAAATGTTCTATTTTTATTAATTTGATTTAAATCACAAAAAAGAAAAAAAATAAATCATTTGGTAATTAATTCACATAACATTCATACATTTAAATATTATTTTGAATTTAAACCACAATTTGCTCATCATTAATATTAAAATAGTTTAACACGTCGTTGTTCGAATTAATGACAAAATAGTTTTTATTTTTCTTCTAGCCACATTTACAAAAATTAAAATAAAGTATCAAAATCAATACGTTTTTTTAACATGACATATAAATAAATGTGAAAAGTGCGAAAATGTAATCAAATTGTTATTTATTACACTTTTTAAAAAGAATTTTTCAAAGTTGGGGTAGACTTATAATGATCTGGTGGTTTACACTTGAATAGAAAATTCTGGAAAACACTCCACATAAATCCATGTTTTGGTGTGTAGTTGTTCGTATTTGCGAAAAACTCCTTTCAACAACAACAGTTGTTGGAAACATTGTTACCAAATCCTCAACAATAAGACGCAAACTTGATGGGAGAATCTGATAAATGTCCAATAATGTAAGTTTATGATGATAACCAGTTTTTTTCTCTCAGGCCCTTGTGATAGTTAGAAACTGGTACAACATTGTTTAGTTTCTTATCAATTAATATATTGGTATTACATAATATATTTGTGATTATAGCTACTTCTTTATTTAAATAAGTAAACTCTTTTAGTATTTCAATATTCCATTTATCAACAATAAGTTGAGGGAGGTTAAACATATACATATTTCCTTCCAAATCAACTTCTTTTTCTTTCAATTTATTCTCATTTATTTTATATTTTCTTTATTTTTCTGTCTCTTTTTCCATCAAAGTTTTTCCTGTTGTTTTTTCTGTTATTTCATTTATTTTTTCGTTGTCATTTTTATCACTTTCGTTGTCATCAATTATCACCTTTTCTTTTTCCAACTTTTTGTTTTTATTTTTCATAATCTTTATCATGTCTTCAGACCTGGAAACTGTTTTAAAGCGTAGATTAAAATCATCAATGATCATTTCCAATAGTTTTTTAAGGTATTTTTTATCAACATTTGTCTTACCTTTTAAACATTCAAAATCAGAGTATTCATAGTCCGGCTCAACAACTTTTTGCAAAACACTTTTTAAAAAAACTTTAAACATTTGAATTCTTTCCCATTGTACAAAAATCAGACTTTTTTGTTCTTGCAAAGAATCTGAAAATTGTCTCAACAAACCTAAAATTCCTCTCATAACACAAATAGTTTGTTTGACAACTTCATTTCCCAAATGGAAATGATCAATTGCTATATTGATATCTTTTTGTGTTGGAAATTGTTTTTTATATTTTAATAACCTTGTGAAGAAAAAATGCTTCATGTTTAATCTGTTTTCAATACTTTCACTAAACCTTTCAATTTCTTTATATTCAGATTCAATTTCACCCAAATTATCGGAAAGATAAAGCCACCTCGTTTCGCATGCTGTTTTCATTTTTTCATTTTGTTTATTTTCTTTGTAAAATTTTTTGAGTGTTCTACCTGAACAAAACCACTTTACAAATAATGTAACTAATAATGCGTCATTATCTTTATTGACACATGTTCTCGTTAGTGCTGTTCTGTGGGCAAAACACCAAGTAAATTTAAAATGTTTGTCGACTTCCCCCAAACACATTTGTTCTTCCCTCAATTTGTTTAAAAAGTGTGCAACAAATCCATTATTTATTGAAGTTAAATTTTTACCACCATCGGTAGCACACTGACAGATATTTTGAAGAGGAATTCCCATTTTTTCAAATGGCGGAAAACCCAATTTGCTATTGAAATTCCGTTTGTTTTGTGATTGTATTGTTTAATTATTACAGGAAAGCATTTTACTTGTCTGTTGTAAAAATACCTCAAAAAACAGAAAATATTTCAACTCCTTTTTTAGTTGAAGAATCAAGAGCAACCGTTATTGATTTTGCTCTTTCGTTTCTTCTAATATTTGTTTCATCATTTTTTATTTTGAGAATACATTTGACCCCTTACCACTTTTGGACTGCATCCTACGTTATGAATAATCGTGTCATGTGAAAAAGTGTACATACGAATTGCCATTCGAAGACATTGGCACATTCCATTCATTTGTGTTCCACTAAATTTAGATTCGATCATAAAATCATTAATTAAAAAAGATAATAATCTATTTTTAAAGGTGTTCAGTGTTCCTTTATAAAGGTTTTGTATTTTGAGTGAATTATTATTTCGGACAGAATTTAATAATTTATCTGTTACTTCTTCTTCTTTTTCCTTGATAAGATAATTGGTTAATTCAAAAAATCGATCAAAAGAGAAACGATCATCATATTTGACAAATATTCTAAAATTGAAAAACACGTCTTCTTTGTCCCATTTTTTAATGTCTTCCCTTTTTAAATTAACAAAATATCCATTTTTGAATTTCAAAATTGCAGCAATTATTTGTTCTCGTGTTTCACAATTATTGGTTTTTGTGTCATTTTTTGTTTTTTGTTTTTTATGTTTATTTATTTCATTTTTTCATCCCAAAAATCCGATAAAGTAGAAAAATTATCAGAATTTGATATTATCATTAAAGTTGTTGTTAGAAACTCTTGAATCGATAGAAGCTATTTCACATGGATCACTTTGTGTTTGAAAATCATTAATTGAAGATGTTGAATATTCTGTATCACTCGTTGTTTGAGAATCATTCGAATCATATAACATTGACGTATCATTTGTCCGTGCAAGTTCTGGTTGTATAATTTCTTTTGTTATACAAACGTCTGAAATTATATGGTTTATTTCTTTTTGAGTTTGTTGTGTTGAAAGAATTTCAGACATATATAATTGTTTTTCAAAAGCAACATTTAATGTTTTTGTTGACTCAAGACATTCTTCCAAAAGTTTTATTCGTTTTTCTTGTTGTTGAGTTTTTTGTAAACTAATTAAAATGGGTGATTCGTCACTTATTGGTAATTCCGTGGTAATTTGATTTAACGTGGGTGAAATTTGTGAAATTTCGTGCATTTTTTGAATTGAAAATATAGTTTTTTCTTGTGTATGTGTGGATATTGTTTCTAAACTTTGTGGTTGGACAATTTGTTGTTTATTTATATCCTTACAATACGAACATTCATTTCGTTTATCAACATGGATGTTATTATTTAACAATAAAGAAACGGGTAATTTAGTTTGTGGTTGAAATTGTTTAAATATGTCAAAATCAGGAAGTAATCTTTTTGATGATTTAATTTTTAATGGTAACCTTTTTTCTTTATTAATGTGATGAAAAAACCCATATTTCATTTTGTTGTAATCAAATATAAAGGTTCTACCAAAACTCTTATTAAAGAAACTTGAGGTCTCATGGTTTTCAACAAATATAAGATTAATTGAAGTTAATTGCTCTGTTTCATTTGTTGTTAAATCATTATTAATTTTCTTTTTGAAACAACATTTGTGACTACTTTTGTTGTGACGAAGCATCCAACAATTGTCATTTAAACAGATGCAGTATTGTCGTTTTTGGAATTCAACAAAAGCATAACCATCGACTAGACCAAAAGTTTCTTTTGAAAAATTCAAAGTTGTATCGAGTATATGTAACATGATATTTACAATTTATAATTCAATAACTTTATTTTTTAAGTTTGTAAAATAAGTAACAATTGTAAAACATTTGTGTTACTTTTTCAATATTCAGAAATATATTTTTGGTCAATTGTGTTTTGAATTTTACCAATATATAACAAAATCAATATTATTGGATGTTTTTTGGTTTACATTTGTATAAAAGTTTATTTTTTATAAAGTTTATATATATTTGTAACATATATTTATTTTTTTTGATTTTTAGTTGTTGTGTATTTGGAAAAAAATGTAATACAGTAAAACCTCTCATTAGTAGATTAAACGGTAAAATAGAACCCCCAATATTGTATATGATTTTTATATTTTGCTTTTCCCCCAATAAGTGTTTTTTATTCTGATTGGTTAAAACGTCTCTTAATGAGAGGTTTTACTGTAATAGAAAATTCTTTAAAGAGATGGATTTTGTGTTTTTTAATTTAATTGATTTACTCAAACTCATTTTGTCATGTTTTGAAACGAATTTGAGTGTTTTTTCAAACAAAAAATACAACATCACTGTTTATTTGGTTTTAATTTGATTTGTTTTTAATTATTTTATATATATGATATTAATTGTTATAAAAACATACTTTGTAGAAAATTAGATATTGTTGTTTATAATATACTTGACTTTAATTCACATATACTTAATATATAATTTATTATTAG